AAAGTACAATAAAACCAAACATATACATAAATAATAATATCTTCCAAGGTGCTGGTGATTGAAAAGGTATTAACATACGGGAGCATCTTCAAGGTGCCAGCCACCCCCAGGGTTGGTTGCCCCTTTCCTTGCCCCATGCCATTTGGCAGAGCCAGGTCTTGACTGCTTTCCGGAAGGACAAGGGAGGTGGGGCCAGCCCCACCTCTGGGGGGAGGGTATTCCATAGGGCGGGGGCCACGGCAGAGAAGGCTCTCCTTCTGGGCCCCACTAGTTGACCTTCTTTCATTGACAGGGTCCGCAGCATACCCTCTCTGCTTGACCGGGTCGGACGGGTTGATATAATGGGGGTGAGACGGTCATTCATATATATATGAATGAAACATAACACACAACAAACCAGGAGCAATCTTGCTTCTCTCACAGTTAGGCTGTGGCCATCAGCCCCTCTGGGGGTGGGGAGAAGGCAAAGCGGTATCTCCAGTCTCACAAATTACGGGTAGTATTATGTGGAAGAAGCAGTCATCTTCCCTCCCTGGAAAGTGAAATGCTAAACTTAGATAAATATTGATTCCTAACCCTCGATGTGATACCAAAACTGCTTCTAAAGATTTCTTCTCTCTCAAAAGCAGAAAGTCCTGTGATTTTGCTCCATGCCTTTTTCTAGATATGTAGGCTACATTTATTTCCTGCATTGTAACATGTTTTTGGAAAGGTGGCCACATTGCATTTATGAGCTTCAAGTGTTTGAAGCTATGATTCAGAGGCTGAAAGTGAACAGAAGTAAATTTACTACTATTTTTTCAAAGGCTCAGTCGTCAGCCAGACTTCCAGAGCTGGTGGTCCCCTGCAGAATGTGTGTGAGGTGGCGGGAGCCATGTGAATGCTGTACACCTTGGCACCAAGTTTTCTATTCGGTGTGCAGAACCTGACATGGGGAAATCTTGGTTGCACAGCATTTTTAGACTTCCCAAGAGTGCTGTGCCAGATAGCCAGTATTAGTACATGGATGCGCAAAAAAGGGGATGGTGAAATTCTCTGATTTTTGAAATCCAATATTTCTAACCATTGGGGGAAGGGGTTGCTGTTTTGTTGATTACTTTCCAAGTAGAGGTGGAAAGTCTCCCACCCTTTGGGCAGAGTCTGAAAATTCTCACAAAAGTGAGCCAATACTAGTTTTTGAGAAACACTGGCTCAGCCTTTTCACGTTTTGGCTGCCAACTTCTCTTCCTCATTCCATTACACCTTTCTTGAGTAACTGAAATTTGTTTTGAATAATGGCAGTCTGTTTTTATACTTTCTGAATCAACTTGTTGTCAACTGCTTTGCTAAAAAACGTTGAAAAAAGGCATTTGATGTGCTTTGCTGACACACACCAGCTCTGCAGATGGATGCGTCTCTCTTGTTACTCAACACACAAGGACCCTCATTTGAACTTGCAAAGCTGCTGCGTGCTTTGAGGGGGGTGGAGAAGGGGAGAGACGGTGGCAGGAGAGACGAACCATCTCCAAAGCGCCATCTGCGATAGCCATTTCTCGCCTTCTCTCTTCAGGCTGCAACCACTGATAGTTCCACATTCATGTACCAACTCATTGCCACATTCAGTTGCCCTGAATTTTCCACCACGAGTGTTTTAAACATTCCCCATTAAGTCAGCTCAGCGCCGAACCCAAATCGTCCAGTGCCTTTCCTCGCAGAAATCTGATTGTCTGGCACACAAGAAAGGGAATTTTCCTGGTTACTCCAAGTTAGGAACGGTATTCCAACTCACCTTAAAACCATTTTAATTAAGTTTTAAAGGTACCTTTAAGGTTGGAAGGTCCAGTTCAGATGGAAGCACTTTTAACAGCAGGGGGTGAAAGGAATCAGGCCAACCTTTGCATGTGGCAGCTGGATTGCAGAGAAGAAAGCAGAAAAGCAGGCTGGGCTTTGGGCACACAAATGGGATACCATCATCATCATCATCATCATCATCATCATCTGTTTTGCACTAAACTTTATTAGCAAATGTCACTGTTCCTTTATTTTATTTTTTTTACTATTTAATTTACTAAAGATTGCTTTGATATAGGTTTTATGTTTTACTGTTTTCAGAGTTTATTTATTATATACAGTGGTACCTCGGTTCACGAACTTAATTCGTTCCGCAACTCTGGTCGTGACCCAAATTGGTCGCGTCCCGAATCAAATTTCCCCATAAGGTTCAATGTAATTATGGTTAATCTGTTC